TCCCGCTCCTCCCGCAGAGCCGGCGGAGCGCAGTGGGGACTCCCGGTACCTGCGAAGGAGCCGGGAAGTGCGCGTTCCGCGTCGACGCCCCCAATCCGGGCTCCCAATCCCAGGCGCCCGCGGCCTCACCGCCCGCTGACCCAGGAGATACCTGCGAGCAGAGCTCCCAGCCCGGACTCTGTTCAGTCACCCCCCGGGCATCAGTTCCCAGGAGAGCCGCGGAAGTCGCTGTCCGGGCAGCGAAAGGACCCGGAGGTGGCGATCACACCACACTAGGAAGCCCCGGCCGTTCCCGGTCCTCAGCGCCGCCGCAGGATCAGCGTCAGCGGTGAAACGCCAGCGCACGCCCACCGCGCACACCGGCGCGCGCGCACAGGCGGCGGAAGGCGCGCCCAGAAGCCCCCGCGCCCAGGAGTCAGGGAAGCAGACCCCGCCCGGGAGGTAGGCGTGGAGCTTTCCCAGTCCCGCCCCTTTCCACAGGCTCCGCCCACTCCGTGGACTTGGTTCTATCCTTGGGCCATGAACTGGTGGATGCAATCTTTGCTTAGGGTGGGCGGGAGAAGGGCATAGCAAATTTAAGTGCCTAACCCCATCCCAAACAGGAAAATTGACCCAAATCTTTCTTACCTTCTTCTAGCCTCCCCCCACCCTCCTAATTTGCTTTGAACCAAAAAACTGTGACATACATTTGGCATAATTCTGTCTTCCAGGTAATGTGGTTTAACATGGTTTTCACTGATTTATTCACTGGTTTATTGATTCAGTTTTGTATCAAGGTAAAAGATCTTGCAGATCATGGGTTCAGGTTTGGCTTATTGAGGATGACATACATTGTGATATCCAAGAAGTACTGTCAAATAGACAATTGGCACCTGGATCTTCAAGATGTCGCTAGACATGTAAAATTGGTGTCATTTCTGGATAGATGGTGATTGATGGCATGAATGGGGGTGAGATTACAGACAGACAGATAGAGAAAGACAGAGAAAATAGTAAAAGGACAGGGCGTCGAGCCTCACAAGGAGAACTCAAGCTCTGGTCAGTCAGGGACAGCCTCTTAGGGAGGGGCTATAAATCTAGGCCATGAGTTGACCAAGGAAAAACAGGATGAGCAATTAGGATGTTTTGTTGCAGCTTCCTCTGTACTCATTACTATCATAAGTGAATTATAAGTGTCATCTCAATCATCACCACATTACTATAAGATAGAGGTTATCATCCCCCAATTTACTGAAACTAAAAGATGGCACAGCTAAGCTTCAAGCGCAGATCATTTCATAGTTGTCCCACAGTTACTCACTCGATTTAGAGGACCATTGGTAAGATATGGCAGAATGGTGGAATGATATTTTCTAAGGCTGGGGGTATGACGTGTGCCATGAATTGTTTTTGATGGTATTGGCCTTTATAAAAGTCATATTTAACTAGCTAGGGAAACATAATTTTAACTTGGAAGTATTGCCAGTAAACATGCTCAAAAATGGTCTTCAGCCAATTAAGAGTACAGGGGAATGGAAAATGCACTAAGTAGGAGGGAGAATTACCAGCCTTCTATTCATACCTCTCATAAATCTGAAGTTTCTGACCTATCTTCAAAGGTCCACTGAAACCCCAACACTGCTCTAATTGAGCAAGGGTCATTTTCAGGTTGCAGTCACCTCACTGAAGATCCAACTATTTTTATGATACTTTATAAAGTTTCTCTCTCTCTCTCTCTCTCTCTCTCTCTCTCTCTCTCTCTCTCTCTCTCTCTCTCTTTAGATAGGGTTTAATAAGATTTGAATGTCTGTAGCTTTTCTCATCAGAAACCATGGAGGCCAGAAGACAGTGAAATATCATCCTTAACATGCTGAAGGAAGTAAACCCTTATCAACCCAGAATTGGTGTGCCGTTAACTCCAAGTAGGTTGAAAAGCTAAAGCTGTTTATTGTAATCTCTAAAGAACCACTAAAAAGGATATCACTTTCACTGTAAAGATAAAGGACTCCGAAGCCATCTGAAACCACATCCTTAAGATGCATGGAACTGTTTGTTACAAACTCCATTCCCGTCTATCACCATGAAATTCAGCTCCACTGATAGACTGATTCACTTATTATTAACTAACCTGTCTGTATTTTAAAAATAAAACTAAACAGAGAAACTTGACCTGACTTAAGTCAACACTTTTCCTAGACCAGTTCTATATTCATTCAGCAAATTTATACTGAGAATCTAATATGTGGCAGATACCATACTAGCAGTTGGGCATATATTAATAAACACAATCAGATGAGGACTGTCTTAATGCCCAACAGAAGATTCCCTATGCTAAGCGTTTGTTTCTCTTCACTTAATGCTTTTTGTTGTACACATCTGCAGAGTGTTGGTTTGTGTAGGTTGTGAATTGCACTGGACAGTCTAGAATTTTTAGGTAGTCAAGACATTAGTGGGGATGATTTGGTTTCATAGGCTATATGGAAGGGACATTGTCAATTTTTGGCTTCTGGTCATGGCATACCCTTTCTGTGTTTTTAGTTTTCTGTGAGTTGTGGAGGATTTAGAACCTGCATCCCTCCATAGAACTTGAATATTGCCTGAATTCACTTTGTCTTCATTGCAGCTAGGGCATAGCGTGTAACTTGGACTCCATAGATGCACCATCTAGTCTTTGAATTAAGAGGCTGTGATATGAAAAAGCAAGAACAGCAAAAAGTCTCTTGTCTTTTAAAAAAATACACTTTATTTTTAAAGCAGTTTTAGATTTACAGAAAAATTAAGATATAGTACAGCAAGCTCTCATATACACCCTCACATTTCCCTATTACTTTTTTAACTTTTTAAACTTTTTGACAGTATTATAGATGACCACATTTCCCCCCCTTTTGCCCACCTTCACCCAGCCCCCGCCCCCTTCCCTCTGGCCATCACCACAATGTTGTCTGTGTCTATGGATTATGCATATATGTTCTTTGGCTAACCCCTTCACCTTCTTTTATCCAGCCCCCCACGCACTCCTCCCCCAGACAGCTGTCAGTCTGTTTCATGCATCCATATCTCTGTCTCTACTTTGTTTGTCAGTTTATCTTAGATTATTATGGTACTTTTGTTACAATTAAGAAAATAACGTTGATACCTTATTGACTAAAGTCCATACTTCATTAAGATTTATTTTTTTGTATTATTGTTATTATTATTACTGATCCTTTTTCTGATCCATCCAGGGCACCATGTTACATTCAGTTGTAATGTCTCATTAGTTTCCTCTTGGCTGTGACAATTTCTCAGACTTGTTTATGATGACCTTTAGTTTTAAGGAGTACTAGTCATATATTTTATAGGAATCCCATCTATTAGAATTTTCCTGATGTTTCTCTCATGATTAGGTTGAGGTTATGAGTTTGGGGGAGGCAGATCACAGAGAAAAGACTATTTCCACCCTCTCAGCTCAAGGATACATACTATCAACATGACTTATCACTGGTGACGTTAACCTTCATCATCTGAGGTAGTGTTTCTCGTCAGGCAATCTCTCCCCTTCCTTCCTCTCTTCTTTTCTTCCAGACATTTTGATTGTTTTAATAAAAGCCTGTTCCTAGGTTTGCATGACTGTCACCTCCAAATTTGATATTAGAATATTCTTTGATATTAGAATCATGCATGCAATTCATATTAAAGATTATTTCTAGATAATCCACTTTAAACCTCCTAGATTTAATTGTGATCATGCTCAAAACGCGTCCACGTTAGATGAATTAACCACAAACTCCTCTGAAATAACACGACGCGTCTCATATACAGAATATAACCTAACTTTTCATCCTTTTATTTCTTCCCTGTGTTCTACCTTCAAGCGTAGTATTCAGTGTTTAGAACATGTCCTTCATTTTCATGCTTCCTGAAATGACCTAAATCGTAGCTGCCTATTGAAGTCCTGCTCCTTTTTTAAGGATCTTACCAAAGCTCTAAAAGTCACAGCCAGAGGTCACTGCCTCTGAGAAAGAGGCTTTCTTCCCGTTAGTTTCCTGAGGGCCCCTTTGACATCCTTGTTTCTCAGGCTATAAATGATGGGGTTCAACATTGGTGTCACCACTGTATAGAACACAGATATCACCTTATCCCGCTCTTTCGTGGCCTTGGAGTTTGGCCGCATGTAGGTGAATATTCCTGAGCCGTAGAAGAGGACAACGACAATGAGATGGGAGCCGCAGGTGGAGAAAGCCCTGTGCCTCCCCTCCCCGGACTGCATCTGGATCACCGTGGACACAATGCGCCAGTAGGACACCAGGATCAGGGAGACGGGTGCCAGGAGGATGACCACACCCATTGCGAAGATGGCCATTTCTGTGCCGTAGGTGTCTGCCGAAGCCAGCTTCAGGAGTGCAGGAGGCTCACAAAAGTAGTGATTGATCATGTTCTGTCCTCGATAGGGAAGTTGGAAGGTAAAGGTGGTGTCCACCAGAGACACAAATGCGCCACTGGCCCAGGATGCTATGGCCAGCTGGAGGCACGCCTGTTGTGTCATGGTGGCGGAGTAGTGCAGGGGCTTGCAGACAGCCACATAGCGGTCATAGGACATCACCGCCAGCAGAGCGCACTCTGTACAGCCAACCAGAAGGAAGACAATGATCTGGGTCATACACCCCAAAAAAGAAATCGTTTTCGTATTTACCAGGAAGTGGATCAACACTTGAGGGACGATGCTAGTAGAAAAACAGAGATCTGCGAAGGAGAGGTTTCTAAGAAAAAAGTACATGGGCGTGTGGAGTCGAGAATCTACGGAGATGAGAATGATGATCAGCAGGTTTCCAAGCACAGTCAACAGATAAATGATGAGAAAAAGAATAAACAGCAGGATCTGGGTCTGCAAGTCCTGTGAGAGGCCCAGCAAGATGAACTCAGTCACAAAGGTCTGGTTTCCTTCTCCCATGGAGAGTTATGCCTGTCAACCTGTTTGACATCAACAAAAAGGAAGATTTGGGGTTTGTGCTATCAAGTCTTGTAGAAGAGGCTCATTTGAAACCGCCACTTAGGCCTTGCCGGTGTTGCTCAATGGTTCAGCATTGACCCAGGGACCCAGAGAACACGGTTTGATTCCACATCAGGGCACCTGCCCAGGCTTGGGGCTCGATCCCCCAGTAGAGGGCGTGCAGGAGGCAGCTGAGAGATGAGGTTTCTCTCTCAGAGATGTTTCTATCTCTCTATCTCCCACGCTCTGTAAAAATTAACAAAAAATATTTTTTTAAAAACAAAAACCCCAGACACCTAATTGGATATTGTTAGCTCTTTTGATATCTAACTTGTTCTAATTAACAGTAAATATGTTTTTATTCTTATTAGTTGGTTGTAATTTAAGTCCAATTTCCCCCCAAATCCTTTCCCAAGTGCCAGTTTGAAAAAAATAGACAGAAACTTTATTAAAGCCTTCTTGACTAGTTCTGATATGAGGATATTACTAAATGTGGATTTTACTAAGTGGTTATACACGTATTGCTAGGAAATGACTATGTATACTCTTAGGACTATTGCCATGCATAAAACTACATAATAACTGTTCAAAAATAGTATATATTTAATTCTAACATGTCCTCAAAAAACATTACTTTTCAGGCAACAAATTTAATTCAACCCCTTAAAAAAGAGCAAACTTCATTTGGATTTAAAAACAAAACCTTAGCATATCATACACTAAAAATCATTATATTTAAATTAAAGTGTAAAATGTTAAAACTAGAACAACAAAAAAAGAAAAAATAAGTGGAAGTTGTGCTATCTGGACAGGACGAGACTGAAAACACAAAAGCCTTCTAAGAAAACATGTATAGTTTACAACATAAATGGAAGGACCTCAGTGAGATAATATCAAAAACAAAATTAAAAGATAACTATAAGCTGTGGAAAATATTCAAGGGAGATGCCAGACAAAAGCTAAAATACTTCATTATATTAAGATTCCGTATTTTTAAAACACTATGAAAATTGTTGAGTCCAAGGACATAAACAGACTATTTTAAACGAAGTGCAGTATCTACTAATAAGTAAAATACTCCATATTATTATAACTCATTAAGTGCAATAACAATAATGAGAGATACATTTTTTCACTTGGGCAATTAGCTAAGATTCTAATAGCAATGACCACAACAAAAATTAATAACTAGTATTTTATTGAGCATTTAACCCATGACAATCATTAATTTAAGGACCTCAACTTTCCTTACTGCTTAAATTCATATTATATCAGCATATTCCCTTCTGGCTGGCAATATGAACAATATAATTATATTGTCCCAATAACATTATGAGGCAGGTACTATTATCTTATTTTGCAGATAAGGAAACTGAGGCATAGGGAGGTTAAGCTACTTTCCCCAAATCACATAATTTATATGTGATTTGAATTACATATGAATTTATTAACTATATAATGAAGGTTTAGAGAAAATGACATTTTTGTACAATGCAAGTGGGTAAAAAATTAATACTATCTCTCTGGAAAATAATTTTGTCAAATACATTAATAACTTAAACATTCAGATGCTTTGACCCAGTTCTCAATTGTGTCAGGGAGGGGAAAATAACCTTTTAACTAGTCCTTGCTTCCCCCATGAGAGGTGAAAATCTAATTTGTAACATTCTAGGATATTGGTTGTCCCATGTTTACTACTGGGTTAGGTTACTATGCCTATTTCTATTTCCTTTCTTCTTCCTGGGACTAGAATAAGTTGAACAAGATCCCCCTTAAGAACTTTACTTATTATTTCTTGTTTCTTTTCTAGAACTCTAAGGGGAGAAATTACCAGGACTAAAGTAGTATTAGGAGTTCTTGAGTCCCCTAGGCTGAATATTATCTAATACTCCCAAACATTATCCCAATTTCTAAATCCAATTCTAAGAGTCCATTCTAAATAAACAATATAAGTTGCAGAAAATATTCATGAAGAAATATGTTTGTCACACCATATAATAAAATAATGGGTTAAAACAAACATATAGACCAATGAAACATAATAAAGAGCCCCAAAATAATCCACACATATGTGGTCAGCTGATCTTTGACAAGTATGTCAACAATACACCATAGGGAAATAGCAGTCTCTTCAATAAATAGTGTTGGGAAAACTGGATATCCACATGCAAAAGAATGAAATTAAACTCTTATCTCACACTGTATACAAAGATGAACTCAAAATAGATTAGACTCCAACATAAAGCCTAAAACTGTAAGACTCCTAGAGGAAAGCACAGGGGAAAGGCTTCTGGGCATTAGTCTTGGCAGTGGTTCCCTGGCTATAACACCAAAAGCACAAGCAACTACAACAACAACAAATAGACAAGTGAGACTGCATCAAACTAAAGAGCCGCATGGCAAAGGAAATAATGAAATGAGAAAGCAACCTATGGAATGGGGAAAATATTTGCAAACCATATATCTGATAAAGGGTTAATATCTGAAATATATAAGGAACTCATACAACTCAATGGCAAAGAATCCAATTTTAAATGAACAAAGGAACTAATTAGAAATTTTTTCAGAGAAGATTATACAAATGGCCAATAGGTACATAGAAGGGGGCTCAACAGCACCAATCATCATGGAAATGTAAATCAAAACCACAATGAGATACCCCTCACCCCTGGTAGGATGGCTATTACCGAACAAACAGACAGCCTAGAAGATAACAAGAGTTGACAAGAATGTGGGGAAAAGGAAACACTCATACACTGTTCACAGAAATGTAAATTGGTGCAGCCATTATGGAAAATAGTATGGCTGTTCCTCGAAACAGTATAAATAGAACAACCATGTGATCCAACAACCCCACTTCTGGGCATGTATCCAAGGGAATCAGGACCAAGATCTGGAGATGTCTCTGCTCTCACGTGTCTCGCAGCATTGCCCTCAATACCCAGGACTGGTGATGAATAGATAAGGAATATGCTGAGCATTCACCACAATAGAATATTATTCACCTGTCAAAACGAAGGAAGTCCTGCTGTCTGTGACAAGATGTATGATGCTGGAGGACGTTATGCTAAATGAAATAAGCCAGATACAGAAGGACTACATGATATCACTTATATGAGGAATCCAAAATGGTCAAACTCATAGACGCAGAGGGATATGTTGGTTTCCAGGATCTGGGGGGAGGATGAAATAGGGAGTCACCAGCCAAAGGGTACCAAGTTTGAGTTCCACAAAGTGAATAAATCCTAGAGAGGTACTGAACAGCGTGGTGCCTGCAGCTATTCAAAGGGTCACTTTCTCTCCCACTATTATTTCTGAAATGCCACAGGGAACAACTTACCCGTTCTCAGCAGTGGCAGCCCCAAGGTAATGTCTGTCATTTTCTTTCCCACCATTTCTTGTTGTCTAGGTGTTATCTGAGCACGGCCATTTCCTCTGTACCCTGTAGGTAATAATTACTAATATAATAAATAATAATAATGACAATTATCTTCCAGTTATGTTTACCAAAAATATTTTTTGCTAATGCCTTAGGAACCAAAGCTAATATGTTATTTCAAAATGCACAGAAAAGACTGGAAAACAATTCTTAAAATGTGGAGAGTGGTTGACTCTGGATACTGAATTTATGGGTGAGTTATTTTTCTTCTTTCCTAACGTTTCGGTACTTTAAAGTTGTTCTTTCAAAGGCCATATGTTGTTAATATAGAAAAAAAAGAAATAGGAAAATCTCAACAGTACTTAATTGAGGATGCCCTAAACTAAAATTGCTTTATTGCTTTGACGTTCAGCCTTGATAAAGTAACTGGTATAGGACTAGCCCTCTTGCTAGAAGCAAATATAAAACAAAATCTGGAACAATCACTTTCAAACACTGAACAATAGCCAGCTCAGAAAACAATAACTCAATGGAATAAAACAGAGAATTTAGAATCAAACTCTAGTATATAAGGGAATAAATGATAAAGATGTCATCTCATTCAATAGGGGAAAGGTGTATTATTTTTAAATGGCGTTAGGTATCTGGCTGTCTGTCTGGAAACAAAGCAATCTCATTTTCTTCGCAAATCCAGATGGATTAAATATCTCAATGTAAAACAAAACCAAATGAAAAACATCATAATATTATTAGGAGAAAATGTAGGTGAATATTTTCTGCAGTCTTTGCATGGGGAATGACCTTAAGGACACCATAAAAACCACAACCATTAATTTAAGTTTGGTTTATTTTATTATAAATCATTTAAATGAACTGGTTAAATAAAGGACACATGCATTTAAAATATAAGCAACAAATAGGAAAACTATTTACTACACCAAGGAGCTTTTAAAATAAAATAAAAAAGGAAATCCTGGAAATAATATGTTAAACATACAATTCACAGGAGAGACAGGAGGTTAAACAGGCGATTTACAAAGGAAATACAAATGCCTAAAAACTGCCCATGTAAAGAATGTTCATCCCCAGTTGGAATCAAAGAAATGTAAAATAAAATAACATTATTATTTTTCTCACATTAGATTAGCAAAGATTGAAATCACTTACTGTATTTTTGAGAGTGGAGAAAACAGATATGAAAATGTAGCACATACGTATATTTATAAAATCTCTCTGGAAGGCAATCTGAAAGTATTTTTAAATTACAAATTGAACTAAGTTTTTTTCCTGAACAATGCTCTTTTTAGGATGTTATGTTTTGGAAGTAATTATAGGTTTGCAGAAAGGTTTGTTTTAAAGGATATTTACATACAGAATTATTTCCAGGAAAAGAAATCTACAGTCTAACAGGTGATATGTTAAATAAATTGTCATTTTCCTATGTAATCTAATCATACAGTAGAGAGAAATGAGTAAACGTGAAGAGGTCTGAGTCACATGAACACGGGTTAGATCCTTGTTCCCCCATTTCTTAGCTCTGTGATCCTAGAGAATTTATTTAGCTCCTATATGACTCAATTTCCTGACATAAAATGGATAGAACATC